TACTTGACAGACCCTATAGAAGCCCAAAGTATATTTCGATATATGTGCACCCGAAAACCAATACCCTATAGAAGCTTTAGCCAATTCAGGGTAGTGGCCTAATTTACCAAATCTTCTGGGAAGATCAGTATATTAAAGGTACTACTGTTACCAGCACTTGCTGTTGCCCTGCAACCATCAATAGTAGTCAAAGGGCCGGAGAAACCTAGCTTCCTCCGAACCGCTAGAGGGTGTGGGCTTTTGGGAATGTGGGTTATTCAGGATGTATAGCTAGGGCTTGTAGGGTCCATTACTCGTTATGCAGATAGAGTTTATATAATATATAGGCTTTATAGGGTTTTGTGTTTTACTAGTTTCGGCTCCGATGGGGTTTATATATAGGGTATTTAGGGGCCAGAGTGAAAATGCCGTGTGGCCACAAGGGCTTCGATCGATCCGTCCAGTGATGCAATATTCCTTGGGTCTGGAGTCTGTGGCTCCGATTCATAGTCTCGTCGAACAGGGTCGGGCTGCGTTGAACGCTCTATACTCCTCGCACTGATTCATGTCTGACATCATTTCGGTGCGATTCCGGTTCTTGTGTTGTCCGGGTGTCTCCGTCGTTGCTCTTGCCCGGATTCAGAGCACACTGCTGCCCTCTGGAGTTTCATCAGCAGGCCACGATGTCGCAAGATCCTAATCCTTTCAAACCCCTGGCCTTATTAATCTAGTCAGTAGTCACATAACATGTAGTCAATTGATTTAAATTTGATATGACTACTAGACGAATCCCAGCTAAAGACCCCTGTCCCCTATACAGGAAACCCCCGACACTATAAACCCAAATGCAAGCCACTTAGCCTAGGAAAAACACGCAACCCGGCCCCATCGTTCTATCCAAGCTTGGTACCCTCTGTGTAAGTCCTTCCAAGCCCAAATCCTCCAGGAGCCTCATATTGGCTAAGTCTTCAAACTTCCGAGGCGGTTGATGTTTAGATCGAGGGTTTACAGGGCTACAGGGGTTAGGGGTTGTAGTAGCAATGGGTCAACATGTCAGTATAATCCCTTGATGCCTGATATAATCCTGCAACATCGACCATATAACCTTATAAACCCTTAAACCCTAAATCCTATGAAACCCCTATTTCCTGAGGGTCTATCCAATGGAGTTTGTGAAGCAACTATTCGATGCTTTCACTACGGACTTTTCTCCTCATCGTATGGGCTGCCTACGCAACAAGAACAGCACCAACCCTGACCTGTCCGATGTGGAGTTGTTCAAGGCCCTGCCGATGAAAGATTTGTGGGAAGATGCAGATCTGCCTGCAGTCTATTTCTATTTGAGACGCAACAAATATCTTATGATACCTCCTTCTTGGGAAGATGCAATCAGTCAGTTTGACAAAGAGTTGGATGCCAAGGTGTCTTGGGCTTACGATATTGCATAATGCTGGGGATGCTTTCCTTATCCTGTCGTCTTCTGACTATCCCCGAAAGAACCTAGCTAGAGTCATGCATGAATCCACCAACAAAGGTGAACTGCTATATGGACCTCAGGGACGAGTACAACCGTCTATGTGCTAGTGGGCAGGGCTGAGTTAGCTGCACAGACAGGGCTCCAGCCAATCGTCTGTGATGCTTGTAGACGCAGATCAATCGTGGCCGCCTGCAGGAAAGAGTGAATGGCATTTGTGGGGTTGCGGGGCTAAAGACTCCAGGCAAAACATCACGCGCACTTTTTGAGTTGCACGAACGTTTTTTGCATTTGGGCCATGCAGTCGGGAAAGGGGTGGGCGCAACTCTCACGCAATCTCCCGCAACTCTCGCGCAATCTCCCGCAACTCTCGCGCAATCTCAAAATCCGTATGTTTGCCGTTTTTTCACGCGCGTTTTTTGGATTGCACGTATGTTTTTTACTTCCCGCACACATTTTTATTGCTGTCTGCAGACCCCGACCCATTCCCTGAAGAAGCAGCTTTGGAGGTTGCGGGTTGAGGGGTTCAGGGGCTGCATCATGGGCATTCCAGGTTTTATGAGCGGGGCAGGGCAAGTGAACTTGAGCATCAGAGGGTTTATGATAGATGTCTGGGCTCTGAGAAGTTGCTGCCTCATGCTGTCAGATGCCTTAATGCTCTCGGTGCACTCCAGCTACAGCTCGACTTTATTGTAGCATGGCCTATCATGGCCTCTATTGAATCCTTGGAGACCCTGAGTGACGGTGTGGCTATGGTAGCTCGATCATGGACAAATATGTCTGACATCCCCGAAGCTGAGCTTGATGATCAGATCAGAGTTCTTTGCTTGCAACTGCATGTTGTCTGAAACTCACATGTCCCTGCTTCCATCGTACCAAGATGTATTAGCTCTTCCTTCACCCCAGGTTGCTGAGGCCAACTTGGCTTCTCTTAAGCAGCAGTTGGCTGCTGAAGAGCCGGCCCCTGTGCCAAGTGCTGTGCCAGGCATAGGCTTGCCTTGGGTTGTCCATGTTCCCATCATGTTGGAACCCTCCCAACAGGTGCTCCTGACATTGCAAGTTCGAGCGGGAACTTTGTTCCCGGGGATGCCACGACAGCCCTGGGAAATCTTCGACTTCGGCGATCTGATACTGTGGAGATGCTCAAGAAGTCTTCTAAGTACGAAGAGCAATCTGCGCCCACAGAGATTTCAAGCACCCCGCGGAAGCCTCCCACCTCAAAGAACCTCGGATCCATCGATATTGTCGACACCCCGGAGCCCAGTACGAACAAGAAGCCCTCGCCAGCCAGCGGGAGCCAGGCCCACGCTGAGAGGCAGAGCCGCCCGGACGTTAGAAGGCAGCTGTTCCCGCACCGAAGAGCGACCCCCAAGAAGAAGGTGAACACGCCAAAGCCCGAGGGCTACTGGAAGCTACTTGTCTTGTCCAATATGAATACAGCTCGTGTAGTGCAAGCTATCGATGAAACTCATGAGCATTTGCATCATGAACTCGTGCAGGGTTCGTCGCCACTTCATGCCGAACTCAAAGGGTGAGGTTGTTTGCAGCCCCCGTGTGCTCGACATGGGAAAGACTGTGGAGGGTCGAGCCTTGCTTGCACTGAAACACCCATAGCTTGCACTACTTTGGAACATCTGGTGTCACGACTACATCAGGTGAGCAGCTTCGCAAGCTCTTGTTGGATCACGGGAGTTTTGACAAGGTGGAGGGGGTCCTAGAGAAGTGGCACATCCAGAAGCGGAAGTCCGACGAGATGGGTGGCATGGTCACGAAGCAATGGCTGATTGAGGTGAGAAAGTTCACCCCGCACCCAGACAGCACTATCTCAAGTTCACAACATTAGCAACCCTGAAAGATGCCTCGCATGTCGTCCGTCTGCACCAGGAGCATGGCGGACAACGCCTTTGATTGGGCCAGGCGCAACGGCAGACTCTACAAGTCGGAAATCCATGGAGAAGAAGAGGCTGATATTCCGCTTGAGTGGACGTGGAAAACATCTAGTGAGTCAGGGCAGAAGACTGGCTTTTCGAGCTCCTTCAGCATGGACGCGACTAGCCGCATAAGTGGAACAGTTCCTACTTGCCTCTGTGCATCCTAAAATCATGCAGTGTGCACCACACTCTGCTTAGGATCCGAACTGTGCCCTCCTCGACGCGGAGAACGAGGACCTGGGCCGAACAACGCGAGCCCGCCAGGGCGAGGCCACGAGTGACTCCGTGGCTACGGCTCAGGCTGGGGCTTCTTTCAAGATTCTCGGAAAGCAAACCATTATGAAACCTTGATATGCATGATTCCAACAATTCCCAGCCCAGGATGTGCTTCCCCAGCTTGCAGCAGAATGCCTCCCCCCTGGGCCTGTTATCCTCCTACATTTGTGTGCTGGGCAAGAAGATTGACCTGGCCGAAACGGTGAAGGAGCTTATTCAATGATGCAATCATACACACGCACACACATATATCATGCTTAGCAAAATACAAAACAGGCTCGTGCACATGTTGTAGACATCTTTTTTTCATATATACACAAGCATACATACGTGCATACATACATACATACACACATATGATTTATGCATATGTGTATGTACCTGTATGAACATATATGAACATGTATATATACATATATATTTATATTTATTTATCTTAAATACATGCACATGTACATACATGTGTGAGTGCACACAGACACAGATATATACAGACTTGTATCTTTTCTTGGAAATGTCGTTACTTGCATTGTCTTTTCGGAGGGCTCGCTATGTCACCCAAGTGTGGCGAGGTTTCTGCAAAGTCGATCGCCTTGGGCATATGCTTTGGGACTTTGGGGTCCTAAGAAGGTCGGAGACTTTGTGCTTTTCAGGGTCGCAATTGGATGCTGTTTCTGGACTTGCAAGGCTTAGGAGCTTTTCGGGTTGTGCATGATACGACGAAGTAGCTTAGCTGCCCGGCGAAAACTTCAAAACTCCCAAAAAAACAGAAGCCAAGCATCCCGAACACCATCAGGTCTTGTTAAAATTATTGCCCTAAACCCTATATAACCCTATCTACCTATAACCCTATTAATCTTGTGAACCCTACCCTATAAACCCCAAACCCTATATAGGGTAGGGCCTAGGTGTTCGAGTAAACCGAAAAAAGGGGGAATGGCAACTATGGACCAGACTAGATCGCACGAATAACTAAAAACCCTTATAACTCCTATATACCCACCCTAAAGCCTATAAACCCTATAAACCGGTACCTATATAATGCTGCCTCGTTTGTCACCGCCTAAACAGGACAAGCTATCCAAGGCGACTACGACGAAGGCAAAGGAGCAGCTTGCCCAAAAAACAATTGTTGTTGAGTGCACAACATTACCCTAGTAGTCGAGCCCATCCTTCCCTATAAGGCTCGCACAGAATGTGCAGACCTGTTTGGTGGATATGAATGAGTGCTACAAGAAGTTGACGCAAGCGCAAGCCTCCGCAGCTACCACAGACAACGAGAAGGAGCTTGCCAGGTGGATGATTTTGGATTTGCAAGGTAGTGCTGCTTTCAGGGTATGCTGATTTCTGTTAGATGATCTGCCATAGGCTGAAGAAAGACACCCTGGCGACGTACATCCAGTGCACCAAAGCGGACCTTGCCCTCAACAATTATGTTGTTCGATCGAAGACGATCTTTTGCTGCAATCTACCTAGAATCTATATAGACCCTAAAAAAAATCACTTACCTCCTAGCCGCTAGCCTATTTTAGTCAAGACCTGTATCTTAGATTATATAAGCCCTGCATTAAGAAACCCTAGCAGCCCTGATAACCGCCAGTAATCCTGGGTTCCCAAATGTGTCATCCAAAGCCCAAACTGAGGTGCAAGGGGAATGGTGGTGGCACCCCGGCCAAACCCAAGGCCCGACCCAAAGCCAAGGGAAAGGCCAAGGCTGTGGCAGCAAAGGCTCCTGCACGCGGGAAGAAGCGTGCCAGGAGTAGCTGAGATGCATCCAAATCATGCAGAACTGGACGCTGATCTTTCATGCTCTCAGAAAGATATTTTGTCTTTTCCAGAAGATTTAATTTGTGCTCAACAGTTGCACATGCTGTCTTAACAGTATGAGCCAATCCTGTGAAGCCAGCTCGTGAAGGGAGCACGCGGAATCCAAAAAAGAACGATGTGGTTCAGCCCAACTTCTCTGCTAGTGGCTGCTCGTGGCTGTGTTGCATTGCAAGTTGCACTGCAAACTCTAGTCTTTTGCAGGATATGATGTGGAGTGCTTCGATAAAAGTGGGGCCCTCGCCTACCAAAACCATCCACTTAATTCTGCATGGCCCCTCAAAACTACCCAGGTCCTGGAGATCTGGATGAGGATGACAATCAGGAAGATGGCTTTATGGACGAGCTCCTGTCGGGGCTGTCTGGCGGGGTCGCTTGCAGTTCGTTTAGACTACAATGTGGGATTGCTTCAGGGTTCCTTTAAGGGGTTCTTGTGAAGGTTCGATACAAGCTTGTAGGTTTTTTAGGGTGAGGCCATAGACTTCTTCAGGCTTTGCAAGGTTTTATATTATATATATTTCATAACTATATTTATAAATATATATATGTGTATATGTATTATATATATATATATGTATGGGTATCGGGCATTATAGATTCGACAAAGTTTATAGATACAATTTACAAGGGCTGTATATAGGGTTTCTCTCGGAGTATTTCTGTGTTTGGGCCAGTCTCGGAGTATTTCTGTGTTTGGGCCAGATAGAATTAATTAGTTGCTTTCGGTATGTGTGTTCCTAAATATGTATGGGTGGATAGGCTTTGCCAACTATGTGGTTCAGTTGCTTACAATGCAAGCGAGGCCGACTCTGCTGTTCGCACGTGTCGTCTAGCCAAGAAAGCTCATCGGAAGTTGCAAAGACGAGGCTCGAAAAGGTTCTTACTTTTCCATAGTTATACTAATTGGTTTAAATACCCTTTTTGAGTGCTTATCTGTTTCACTTCCTATTGGCTTGCAGGGCTACGCGATCGCACATTGCAATTGCTGGGCAAATGTTCAGGATCTTCCGATGCCAACACCTGTCGGAACCTGCACCGCCTACTTTCCAAGCCCGGTTTCACAATCCAAGTCAAGATCACCACTACAACCATCATGATCCGTCATTCCCGAACAAGGCAGCTACAGAAACTTGCCTGGCCCGTCATAAACCTGTCGAGTTGGGCACGCTTCATCTTTGACCAGGGCGGACAGATGTTGCTCAGCTGTGTTTGCACAATTTGAGATTTTGCCTCTCGGAAACAATGTGATCCAGTCTATCTCTCAGAGACCTGTAGATAGTCTTTTCAGCATCCCTTGTAGCTTCAGTGTTTCTCAATTTGACACAGATACCTAGCCAGGAGCTATTCCTAGAAGGGATATAGTTTTAAATAGCCCAGGTTGCTACAAGGGCACCATATATCCCAAGTGGATGCCTGGCAGCGCGATCTTCAAGAATTCTGGGACCGCTACCAGCTCCTAGACCCAAGCCACCCTGTATTTACAGAAAGCCTGGATCGCAAGTCCGTCCTGCCGTTTTGTGTTCACGGAGACGAGGGCCGCGGTCGCTCGAAGATGCCTGTGATGGTGCTGTCGTTTCAAGGATTGTTTTCGCACTATGGGAAGCATAGGTTGAAC